AGTGAGTATATTAGTAGGGCCGATGTGCTTGATAAAATTCGCTAAAATTTCTTGGCTCTTTCTGGTAGCTGCCATACAACATCAATAGTAATTTGGCACAACCAGTATTTTGAATAACACATAGTACTGAAATTTTGCATAAATTAATATGGTAATACGGCAACTTAAAGTCATAGTCTGCCCCATAGTTAGTTATGGCACATTAGTTATTTGCACATAGGATAACAAATTTGTACGGGTATCACAGAGTTGACAAGGTCAACTCTATTTTTTTTCTCGTTTTAATTTAAAAATTTCTACTTAGAGCTGAAAAAAGTATATAAAAAAAAATATGAATAGAAAAAGTTTTGGATACACAATTTGATAAATATTTCAGTATTAACAACGTTGCAGACACAATATCAAATAAATTCTGAACATAACATATCGTGAAATTTCTTTTATTTAGATTAGAACTTGATATTTTAGAAGATGATGCAATGTACCTGAATCATCGTAGAACCATTTCCGAAGATACCCAACTATATAAATATATATTCATTGCCTTAAATTTATCCTATCACAATAGGCGCACCCCGTGGAAATGATCGAATCAAACGAGCTCATTCGCTTGTTAAAGGCGCTCTTACTAAACTTGCTATAAATGATGCTGAAAAATGGTATAATTTTGTAAAGCTAGCTAAACAGATGATTAATTCAACTTACCAACCTAGTATAAAAACTACTGCGTTTCAACTTACAGGCTGTAAAATGAAGGCTCAAAATGAGTTTAAAATTATGGAAATGAGGGAACAAGAATTAAATTATTTGAAAATAAACGTAAAATAATGGTCTAAAAATACGACTAAAATTTCTGAACATAAAATATAGAGTTCAAAAAGAATATGTCTATGAAGAACCAAATTTCGAAAATATTTCTAAGGATTAAGGATACTGTAGGACGGCCGAATGAGTTAAGTTTTAATAAAACAACAGCAACATTATATTTTTTTTGACGTTTCATACACGTTACAATTTTCTATTCCTGTGTTTCAAATTGTTTCTTCATTTACAAATCTACCGTACATTGAGATTCATATACTCGTGCATATACATATGTACATATGTATATATTTGAGTTAATTAATTTAAATTAAAACAAATATATAATTATAGAATATTTAAGTAAAAGTAACAAAGTACAAAGTAAGCAAACTAAATTTTTCATACATATGTATGTAGAGAAAATGCAATACCCATCATAAAAGAATGTACATACATACATATTATGTACAAAAATATTTAAATAAATTTTTAGAATACATAATATTTGAGCATTGTAGCAGGATATTGTGTTTTTCACCTAATTTTTTTTGTTTTCCTTTCCAAGCATTTCGTAATTTTATTAATAATTCATTTCTTGCATGTACATACATACATATGTATATTACCATCTTATACTGTTTTAAAATAGATTGTTTTAAAGTGAAATTTTTGTCATGTTCTTATTAATAAGTTTTCAGAGTTAGACAACAGGAATAAGTAAAATATTACATGCTTGCAAAAATAGCTTTTTCCTACGAAAACAGAAATTTATTAGAAAGATTCACGTAATATTGCGAAATATAGCTCTGGCAATGTGCCAAGTCATATGCTAAAGATTTTCTAGCATATTATTATTTGTGTATTGATACATACATTAGTTTAGTGTACATACACAAGTGCGTTAATATCGTCATGTTATAATGACATTAATGTCAAACATTGAAATATATATACATATATTTGCAAAACAGTAAATGATGTATGTATTTGATCCTATGAATATACACTTTTAGACATATGAATGTAGGTATGTGTACATAAATTTGTAGATATAAGTTAATTTTTTCTTATGAGTATGCATACATCTAAATAGTATGTTATACGTGATATTTTAAACCTAAATTTCATACAAGTAAAAATAAATACGATTGATAGATTTTTATATACCCTGCACTTCGTGAAGAGTATATTCACTTCGGTATGGAGTTTGTAACCACTTGGAGGAGTCGTCTCCGATATGGACATGTATATATATATTCTTGCTCAGCGCAAAATTCTGCATCGATTTAGACATGTCCGTCCGTCCGTCCGATCGCACGATAACTCAAAAACGAATAAAGCAATCGGCACCAAACTTTCACAAGTTGTGTCTTTTGCGACGGCTGCTATTGTAATTGGGCCAATTCGGACAACGGGTTCGGGTAGCTGCCATACAACTCAAAGAGTTTTTTTTAAATGTTTCAGAAACTAATTAAGATATCAATAACAAATTTTGCAAAGATGTTAATTTTAGATATTTGGAAAAATATTAAAGCTAGATTCATGGAATCAGCCGTCGTAAACAATTAAAATTATTTCTAAATATTTCGAAAGCAAATTTTTAAACTCAGATTGTCAGGTTAAACTCAGAAGTGCAGGGTATTATTCAGTCGGTTCATACCGACTGAAACGCTTTTACTTGCTTTATATTCATGTGTACATCCTTAATATATGGAAAATGAAGAGATAGTAGTGTATCAGTAGCAGTGTAGAATAAAGAGAATCAAGTTTTATTTAGATATTTTGTTAAATTTCGTTTTCCAAATGTTTTTCGTCTGAAAAAAAAGTTTACATAAAACTATATATTATGGTTATTCTGTGTTTCCAACAACAGAAAAATTTCCGATTCACGCATTTAACTTACAGCACCATTTGCGTGTTCGTAGATATTCGTATTTTATTTATTGAAACTTTGAAATAAAAGAAAGGTAACGACTAATCTAAGGTCATCATAGGTATTTCTAGTTTAGTCAGTAATAAGTAATATAAATTAAACTTGATTAGTGATAAAATTTCATACAATAAGTTAGCTGGAATTAAGACTTGTATTTAACATTAAACAAATAATTAAAATTAATTTTTCACAAATGTACTTACTGAATAAATAACTTTAAAATAAGGAAAATAAATAAACAATAATAATAATAATAATATATGTATACATAATTCATTCTGAATATATATGTACATACATATGTACGTACACGAATTTTAAATGATTGTCAATCCTCACAAATTTTATTTGTAAACAATAAACATGATATGTAAGGGGAAAGCAATATAATGGATTTGTAAAAATTTATTTAAAAAATACCATACTAATAAAATTTTATTCCAATATTAATAAATTGTTTTCTTTCTGCGAGAGATTTATAATCTCGAAATGCTGTTTTTAATTTTTGGTTATTTAAAAAAAAAATTGGAAATCTTTTTGCTTGTTTTTAAAAAAGTTTCTAATGCGAATGCAAAAATTTAAAAACATGTATATCGCTTAAAATCTTAGACCAATCATTTGCACTTTTAAATATTCATAAAATTTATAAATTTAAAAATATTAATGTGTGACAAATTCTCAAACTAAAATTCTTGCAAAATTTAAATTTATTTTTCTTTTTTTTTAATTGAATTTTTCTGATTTTTACTCGTGACCCATATAATCTCCATAGATTGAATGTCAAATTGTTAACAATATCATTATTGAATTGAAATAGAACTTAACATATGGATTGTGAACACAAAAATTTTTTTTTCCGCTTTCTTTTAATAAATTTTAAATGAAAAGCCGAATTTATGATGAAAGTTATTGTCAATTTTAAGGTGCGGATCCTTGGAGACAAACTAATTTGGCTTGAATATTAATGAAAATCTTTCATAGCAAATCTCAGTCATCAGACGTCTTTATGATTCTAGGTGCGTCAATTTGCGTCCATAAATCAAAATGGAAAAGTCAAAATTCCATCTCGTAAAGTCCACAGAAATATAGATACACAAAATACGTTGATTCGTAAGCTAAGAAGTATTGTAAGTTACAATTTCTACTTCCTCCTAAAAAATATAGTCAATATTTATTTATTAGGTTACTGCTTTTGAATAAATCAACAACTATTTAATAAATTGATCGAAAAGTCTTTGTAACTTTTAAAATTTTGAGGGCAACAATAAAATTTTTTAAATTTTGAAAAGAGAGAAGAAAAAAGCAAGTTTTGTACCAGAATTTTTTTTTCCCAGCTTCTAGATAGATGGTGTACTAGCACATTTTCTAAGTTAGCACATTTTCTATTATGTTTCTAATTGAAATTCAGCTTGTAGAAATAAAAATAAAAAGTTTATTTAAGTATTTACAAATAATGATAAATTATTTTTCTGTCGGAATTGTTGAATGCTTATAGAATGGCCTTAACCCTATTTAATCTCTATGTATTTATACTAACTAATTACGCATTATAAATTGTACTGCTGCGATATTTTTGATCAAACTCTTATTTTGTTTTGTTCTAATTGTAATTGCTATAGTATAATATGTAATGTGAAAATTGCTGTATGGAAAAGTTGTGTACGCTAATTTATGTTCTGTGCAATACCGCTTTTCTAGCACTCAATTTTTTAAATGGCTTCAAAATTTTTGTATACAAATATGTACCTGACGTATTTTTCTGTACTAGTTTATTGTAAGTTTTATATTCAATATGTACCTGATGTGTGAAGCGTTTTCAGAAAGTAAATCCACAAAGTTAGCCTTAGGATGGAAAAAGGTAAAAAAAAATAACATTAAAAATTACCGCCCGATAGTCAAGCTCTGTAGTATACCCAAGGTATTTGAATTAAGCATCATAACGTAATTTATAATAATTCTTCTGAACTGCTAGTTCCAAATGAACAAGGGTTTTATAAAAATGATATCTACAGTCCAAGTAAAGTCTTCGATTTACTCTCTCATAATATAATATTTTTTATACCAGAAAATTATAGTTTTCTACCACTCTTCATTAAGTGGATTATTTCTTATCTGTGGCGGAAGTCTTCATTTTTGCATTTCCAATTGATTTGTTGAAAAATCTCTTGTGCTAAATTTATCAATTTATTAATAGAAGCCGAAATCAATGTTGTTTTACTTTTATGTTTGATGTAGAGCCATAAAAAAATTAAACGGTTTTAAATTGTAATAATTTAATGTAATAATTTTTCATATTTGTAAATAAATACATATGTATATATAATTATAAATATATTTATAGGACAGCCGCTTCTTTTAGTGAATTATAATAACTGTACATTACAAAAAAAGTAAGTTATGTACATTTGTTATGACGGTTAAAATACTTTAACTAAAAGGCGTGCTGCAATGAACATTCCTTTTATTAAAAATGGAGTAAACAGTTTTGTTGACGCGTTTATTCCTTTGATCACCATATTTTCACCATGTCCTTGATTTGGATCTCGTATTAAACCAACAGAACTAATGCCATTACCATTATTACATAAATCAGTTGTGCATGAGCGATAGTATGTTTTAAATTCGCCATCGTCAAATGCCTCATTCAGAAACTGCAAAAAAAAAACAAAAAAGTTTATTAAAAGTTTATTGAAATTATTATTTTAAATTGGTAATTAAAGAAGCAAAAAAATAATTTTGTTAAACTTTGAATTTTTAAAAGTACTAAAGACTTAAAATTTGTATGTCCTTTTCTTTGCTGATTTAACATTCTTTAGCTTTACTGATTTACACACCCTTTAACATTGCACTGAATGAAATTATACATTTTCCAGACCTCTTCAATGATACCTTATCGAAATCGTATACGTAATTAATGACTGTATTTTTCCTTTATAATCACGTCCGCTGTCTGAAAAGTTGGTTTTATAGAAATGAATTTTAAACATGACAGCGGAGAACTAGATTGAAACGGTGTTTTCCGAAACGTTTTTAAAGCCGATGTTAACGATTTTAAATTATATTTACATACATATGTATCATATATTAATATACATATGTATATAAATGTAATAAACTATTTTAATAGATCTATAATCGAATTTATTTTGGCACATGTAAAACGTCAATCTATTGCGTCGTTTATTTCAGCAAAATAAAGGATATTTCGACTTTAACGAACAAATGGCTGATAAAGAGTACGGCGAACAAATCAACTACCCCTTTAAAATTTTTCCTGACTTTCTTTTGTATTAAATGATGAATAAATGTTTCTGAATCTACATAATATCTATGAAGCGGGACTGCAAGTCAAATCATTAAATAAAATTAAGCACATATACATTCTTGCTTAATTACAAAAGAATAAATTAAAAAAATTTTTCCGAACTCTCGGTATATATGTGTATGTAGTTATTATTTGTAATAATACACTTACCAAAGGTTTGTCAGCACATTGGCGTGACAGTGATTTTATATGTCCTTTAGGATTCTGTAAAAATAAATAAAAGACATATTAATTCAAAATGAGTTCTAAGAAATTCATATGACTTTCTATAATTTAAGTGTAAATAATTTACAAGTAAAAGTTTTTAATTGATCTTTAATGTAACCTCCTTTAAATGAAGTGAAATGTAGCTCTTCAACAAAATATTTTATGTTTAATTACGTTTAGTTATGAAATAATTATTATAAAAAATGAGTTTATAATTGTGTATAAGCTCACGCATATTTTGTGTGAGCACCATTAATTTTTTCTATTTCCGAAAATATTATACTTTTTGATCTAAAATTTTTTTTTAAAAAAATGTTTTACAAAATAAACATTTTTACTAAAAAACTTAATATAGAATAGCTTAGATTAAGTTAGGGTAAGGTTTTTAAATTTTATATTAAAAATATATAATTTTAGGTTTTTTAAAAAAATAATTTTTCTAAAAAACAAAAATGTAACTGAAATTTTTTACTTAAATGTAATTTTAAATAATTTAGTCTTTAACTAAAATATAGAAAAAAAAACTATCTGCTAGAAAAGATTTAAGTTGGTTGTAGTAATTTTATATGTATGTAAATAAGTTTTTTGAAACATTTTTGTTATACATATAGTTTTTAAGAAAAAAAAGGATTAAATAAAGTTATAAAAAAAAATAAAAAGCTAATATTATAAAAAATATATTTTATTACAAAATACGCAAAAATTTTTAATATTTTACTACTCTCTAATCTTTAATAGTTTGCAACGAATTTCATTGTTTTTGCCGCGTAAAAAATTGTATAAAAGCAGTTTTCAGTTAGCATTTAAGAGTTCTTAAATAAAGAATTTAAAAAACTTGTATATACATATATACATATTAAACAAAATCTGGATAGATATTGGATAATTATTGACATTATTTACAGTATATGAGTGTGTATAATATACATATTACAATTATTAATTCTTGCTTTTATTCATTTGAATTTATTCCTTTAAATTATTAAAACAACGTAAAAAAGCTCAAATTCACATAGCCAAATAGATTCTTTTATATGAGAAATCAAACAGCTTTTTTCATTAAACAAAGCGGAGATCAAAAAAAATAGTTGGAAAGCCTGTTTCAAAAATAAAACGTACATTAAGTCGGCAAAAAATAGAAAAGTCTAAGACTTTACTGGCCTAAATTAATATAAACGGTTGACAAATTGAAAATGAAGTTTTCGGTGGGCACGCACTTCTCCGTGGTAGAGAAGTGTAAATAAGCTACTTTTGGCAACTTGTGGGTTTGTCTGTCTGTGTGCACGCGTGTATTTTAAGTTCGACAGAACCGATCAATTTATCAATTTTTGAGATATATCAAACCTTAGTAACTGGACTTTTTTGCGGGCCAGTTTTCGATTTTTGCCCATATAAAGAAAATAATCAACCAATTTCTTTGAAATTTAACATTTAAATTTGCAGTATTAAAGCAATAAACATTCAAGTTTGAAGTTCAAACTTCAAGTTTTATCTGTTGAATATTTTCTTAAAAATTATCAAAAATTCTAAATCGGGTTGTAATAAAGGTCCTATTCTCGAGGCCTAACATATCCTAAAAGCTGATTAATTCGGTTGAGTCGAAATTGAGATACACGAATACATACACAAACCGACAGACCGTCATCTTAAAGTAGTTTATTTACTCTTCTCTAACATAGTGAAGTGCGTTCCCGCTCACAACTAGACATGAGAAATCATCAAAAATGTACATGTACAATAAAAAGAAAATCGCAATTTTAAAATGTATGAAATTTTTTTATTGAATTTTTCAAAATAAATATATAAAATAATTTACCTTAGCTTCCTGTCTTATGATAGTACAAAATTTTTTATTACAGTTTGTAACTGGCCGCCCAACGACAGATGCAGGATCATTCAAACACTCCTCGCTGTCTATTCCATAATTATAATTGCATGTATAACATTTTAACGCTAAAAATCAGAAATCTTTAATGAATTGCTCTTTTTCTATATTAAAAAAAAAATTTCAAATTTCACTCATTTCCTTTATAAAAATTCTTTTTAATAACACATGCATTGTTCTAGTAGGTATAAGGCCACCGCATAGAAAAGTTTTTCCTAACCGCTTCAACTTCGACATAATTCGTATGTTTTACCTCAATTTATTTTCTACTGAAATTATTTTTTAGTTGGAAAAACTATAGAAGAAGCAGGTCCTTTTTGCTTAATATTTTTTTATTTTTATTTTCGTATATTATAAGACGAGAAAAAATAGAGTTGACCGTGTCAACTCTGTGATACCCATACGAATTTGCTATCCTATGTGCGAATAAATATGTCATAGCTGACTATGGGACAGACTATAACTTTAAGTTACCGTAAGTACGTTTAAGTTACCGTTATTTATGCAAAATTTCAATACTATGTTTTAATATTTTCTAAGATATGACCGAACTACTATTTAAGGTGTATGGCAGCTACCAGAAAGTGCCGAGCAATTTTAATGAATTTCATCAAACACCTTGGCCCTACTAATATATTCGTGTGTTTTAAATTTCAATATCACAGCTTTTATAGTTTTTGATATATTGCCAAATAACTTTTGAAGTTGTATGGCAGCTACCACAAGGGGCCAAGCAATTTCAACGACTTTTATCAATCATATTGGTCCTATTAATAAATTCACTTGTGTGAAATTTCAATATAACAGCTTTTATAGTTCCCGAGATATAATCAAATAAATTTTGAAGTTCGCACGGGTATAAAAAATAAAATTATAGGCATTTAATTCTGCTTTTTAGACTCTTCTAACCAAAACCTTAAAAACTTATATTAGCTTTATGTAATGCCATATATATCTTTAATTATATAAAATGCCATAAAAATTCCAAATTTATATGGAGTTCTTGGATTGTAGTATTAGTAGCCGTAAAATGTTGTATCAAAATACATTATTTGTAGATTTAAATTTTAACATAACATATTTTTATCATGAAATGAATAACATATTTTTATCATGGTATTAATTAACGGATTTCAAATATCAGTAAGGCTTTTAAGTATGTAAATTATTCACAAGTCATTTTATGGCTTGAGCAAATTACTAAAATAACTTGTGAATAACTTTCAAACGTTTATACTATTTCTAGTTTTTAAACAGTTAAAATAATGAAGCAGCTATTGGCAGTCAGAAAATTTAGCAATTATATAGAAGGATAAATTAAAATTTCAAAAAGCCTTAAAATTTGTGATTAATGGATTGATTGTGATTAAATGTGAAATTTTAATTAATTAAGAAAAGTTCAATAGTTTTATGTTATAAAAAAATTACTGTCAATAATTGAATGAATTTTGTTAGAAGGTTGTTCTATTTACGTTCAATTAGTTTCTTAGACGTGATAAGAAATGTAAAATCGGCCCCTGGTTCCATTTTCGAGGTATTTTGATTTGTTTACGAAAAATATCTAAAATTTTCATAAAAGTACTTAAAATACGAAATAGAGTACTATGTTAGTTTTAAGCTTTTTATTGAACCTCGTCCTTGAAGCTCTTATCATCTTTCTACTGAATTCTTTAAGGTACTCATTATTTAATGACCTTGTAGGCAAACCACTGTAGAATTCTTTCTACAGAATTCTTTAAGGTACTCATTGTTTAAGGACCTTGTAGGTAAACCACTGTAGATTTAAAAACACTTAAAAATTTTAATATTTTTCATGTAACTACATATTAATCTCAGTTTACATAAG